GGGGAGGCAAACAAATCCTTATTTTTTATCTGGCATTAGCATTGTAGTTTATATTTAGAGACTGGAATCTTGGCAAGTCCATTTTTTTTTCTTGGTAACAAGATACTACCTTCAATTTTTTTTTGCTTATAAGGCTTCATGGCAGCTAGGTGGAACATACATCATTAGTTTACTGAATAATAAATATAACCCATGTCTTAAAAACTATTCTTTTACAAAGTATATTAAACCAGAGAAAAGCTTTCATGAAAACCCAGCTTTCTGCAGTAGAATCAACTAAATTGAAATGAGGCTTGTTTTGGTCAACTTTATTGAAACTCATTCAACTTTCCAAGAACTAAAATACAGCTTCTTGTCTTGGCTGCTTGGAATGGCTCACTGTCATCTGTTTCAGATGTTAAAGGATGTGATTTAATATTAGCAATAAGGCCCCTCGTCCTCATTTGGCAGGTGTTAATTATTTAAACACTACTCATTTTAACTTGCTTCCAATCACTCTTCTGAGTGATTTGCTTTACAGGTTTCATCATGTACATTTCTTGAAAGAAAAAGATATGAAAAAAATCCCCAGAAAATAAAAATAAAAAAAAAGTGAGAAGGAAGGCAGGTTGATGCCTTCCAATGGCACCAAGAAATCTATTGATAGGTGGGGCGAGGCAAGGCAGTATTTCATGCATTATGATCTTCATATCTCTGCTGATGGAATATAATATACAATACATCATTTTTATCTTTTTTTGTAATAAAAAGTTGCTCTAGGCACAAAGCCTCAGGTTCCTGCATGCTAATCATACTGGCTGCCTGGAGAATGTCTTTGCATTTCCTGCTCTGTCAATTAGAAATGAGCCCCAGACATCCAGAGTAATTGAAAATATAGGAGGGGCATGTCTCTCAAGGAAACGGCTTCTTCCCCGCTTTCTGGGCACCATCCTCGTCAGTTCTTACAGCTTTGCTCCCTCCAGCTAAACCCGCTTCTGTTTCTTGATGACTCTTGTTATAAACAGCCCTGGGCTTTCCTTTCCCCTCACTCAGATGCTTGTCAGAGTTGCTCCGCTGATGGGATGGCCCTGTGTGCGCTCACATGGAAAATCAGCTTTGTACCAGGCAGACATGCTGGTGTTACTAGTCTAAGTACTTGCTGTAAAACTTTTCCAAGAAGTCCAATGTCCAACACCTAAATTCAAGAAGCAGAGGGTAGGGAGCAGGGGCTTTCATAACCCCTCTGGGAGAGGAGAAACTGACATCAGATCTCTCTTTCTCTTTCTTTCTTTCTTTCTTTCTTTCTTTCTTTCTTTCTTTCTTTCTCTTTCTCTCTCTCTTTCTTTCTTTCTTTCTTTCTTTCTTTCTTTCTTTCTTTCTTTCTCTCTTTCTTCAGTTGTACATAGCAAAGTAATTTCATCTCAGTGTGAAATGGAAATGGTGGATGCTTGTTTAGATTGGGGCTGCTTGGTAATGATTTTAACACTCGTTGGACTCTCTTAGCCAAAGTATTCCAGGGACGAAGCCTGCAATGAGCACTTACCCTCCTAATTAAAGTTTCAGTCCCGAGGAACATGTTACCTGATATCCCCCTTCCCTTCTGTTTTTGGGGTTTCAGTCTTTGCTCTGTTTTTACCTTCACGATTGGTGGCCTTGCTCATCATCTTCCCAGAGCAATTACTCTTGTTTTGGCAGGAGTCAACAACACAGCAAATATGCTGATTCTCTTGCTTGAGACTCAGGCTCATGAAACTCATTCCTTCTTCATACTCCAAGATTGATAGAGTCACTTCATGTCCTTGAGTAGGTGGAATACGGAATTCATTAAGTGTTTTCATAAAAAAGGTGCTAAGAAACAAAAAGTCCTGCATATTCTAACATGACTCGCTTATCTAAGCTGTTGCTCAGCGAGCTGTTTCCTACCTAGTTGAGCTTACTTTCACTTTAGTGATATAGGGATGCCTGTGGGTGACGTGGTGGCAGAAGTGTGTGATAGGAATTGTGCTTTGTCATGAAAAGCACAATAGCCTTGCTTGTCATGCCTTCCCATGTGCTTATGATGAGCCTTTCAACATAACATGAATGCCTTCCTTGGAAATCGTCACAAGATTTTTCTGTGCTGGGGTTCATGGAGATGAGGAAAAAGACAAGAACCAAAGCCTTTGGAAAAACGTTAATTTCCAGTCTTTTAAGCAATCATTTATTCAACATATGTTAACTGAAGGCACCCTCTGCGTTACACTGGACCCTACTTGCTGAAGTGAGATATTTCACAATCTACTGAATTAGACAAACATTTGATCAAAGAATTGTTTTGAGTGTGCCACATGAGACATACGTGGTTTTCTAGAAACTTATGTTTTTTTTTCAGAAAAGAAAGCAGCTCAGTATCTGGGGTGGTTAGGAAGGCTTCTTGGAGGAGTCATGTATTGAAATAATGATAGATGTTCATGGTATAGAAATGGTGACAGATTGTGGCAATGCTGTCCTTATTCTAGGTATTCTAAGGAGAGGGGAAGGAACTGATACAAATATAGACAGTGCTCAGTGTTTGGAACAGTGCTAAGATGTGCCCAAACTGTACAGGGTCATGCAGACTTGAAAACCATGTGTGATCTGCTAGAAGAAGTGTTGCAAGAAAGAGCCTTAGAATTGAGCATCAGAAAATAACACTAATGGATAGAGTGGTGAATGTATTCAAAGGAAGGGAGGAAGAGAATGTGGATGAGAGAATGTTGAAGAGGCTTAAAGCAGGTAAAGAGAGTGTTGTACATAATCTAAGGTTCTGCATTGGAAGTTCCATCTAAAACTGAGAAGTGTCCAAGATTTTGCAAGCTAACAGGCCAGTTTGCCCTATTTGTATACAAATACTGACAGAAGTTATAAGAGGTTTGGGCTTCAGACACAGATGTTTATTACATTCAAAACAGCCACCAGAAAATGACTTATACCAGTTCTCCATGCTCAATAGGGGTAAGTGACTTCACGAAGGCTTCTTGGTATACCATATTATCTTCTCTGAAAGGAGAGAGAGAGAGAGAGAGATCACTCATCATCTTAGAATTTAAGACAATCTCCTTTAAGAGGCAGGAGACAGGTGAATTCATCTCCAGGTTTATTCTAGGGAGATAAACTAATAATACTGGGGCAGTACACCTCTAAAACACCTCTAAATCTCTAAGGATTACATGTATTATCTCTGCTTTTACCATTTAAACATTTATTAGGGCCATTGTGTGGGGACATGAAAGGTCCATATAATATTGTTTTCTGTCATGAAAGTAGAGGAGGGATTAAAGCTAAATAACTGAAATTTGCAAAAGATATCTGCAGAAGGAGGGTGGAGAAACGTGAGCTGGTTAGATGGGAAGTTGGGGAATGAAGTCTCGATCATGTATGATTCAGGTTTTGGAGTTTATAGATGTGTTCATAATAGATGGATGTGAGGAGAAGTGTCTTCTCTTCCTATTTTTGAGGGTGATGGTAGGAATTGGGTCCAGATTGAGGCACAAGTTAAAGGTTTATTTGCATAAAACTAACTCTACCTGAAGATACTATGCAATTCTTTAGGTGATCACCTTTTTCTGGTTCATATTACACAAAATAACACAGAGGCCAAGGAGTCAAAGTTCCACATGGAAAACGGACTAAGATCCTGTTTCTTAATGGGTCCTGTTTCTGTGGGGTCCTGACGGATGGGAAGAAGATGTCTGTTCATTTATCTCTTGTTTTAGGAACTGACCTTCAAAAAGAACTTGAACTTACATAGAGTAGAGCTCTTGAACTGTCTTACTGCCCAGTCCTAGAAGGCTTCCTAAGAGTGGCTTTCCTCTTTGTAGTGGAGAGACTGGAAATCTGAGGTTACATTGTTCATATCTACGAAGGAGATACAGTAAGGTGTGCTAGGAAGAGCTTGTGTCAGAGGCGGGAAGATCACAGACATGGTGTAGTTGCATAGTTAACCAGCTATGGAGGTCTGAGGCATGGTTAGGTGGAGTTCTCCTGATCTTTGTTCATCTTTATTGTGTGGGGGGGGGAGGGAAGAAAACTATCTGTTCTGTAGTGTTTTGATGATTAAGTCATAAGCATTTCATAGACTGTGAAAATTGAATACTTATGAATTTTTGTTACTAAGAGTACTACTGCTTTTGTATTGGAATCTGAATTCTGGAACATTCCATGAAAGTGTTCAATATAAAAGAGAATGAGGCTGATTTTCCCCTCTTCTTGCTGTATAAGGGAAACCCTTTTCTTTTCTTTTTTTTTTTGCAAGAGGAACTCTAACACTATGTTTCTTGGAAGCTTGTGAAATGGATAAATTATGACTTTTTTGTGTCAAAGTAGATAGTAACTCCTTGCACGTGCCTTCTATTGTATATAGAGAATTCGAGAGTGCTTGTGCTTGAACCGATATAAGGCAAACAGAAATAGTACTTTAAATAAGTAAAGAAGTTTCTTATCCTGTACCTCCCAGGTTTAAAGTGAGTACTTTTGGGGGGTGGCATATTATCTTCTTTTTTTTCCTGGTTCAGATTTACTTTTAAGAGGGAACTTTCTTTTTCTTTGGCATCTATGGTATTTAAAATACCATTTTATTACCCATGGTGTCAAATGACTGTATATTTTCCAATGTGCAAAAGGTCCTCTTGTCTGGATTGTTATTAAAATGTCAATTATGATTGCATCACTTGAAAAGCTGGATATTTAATCTGAGAAAATAAACTAAATATGTACCCCCCTCCTGCATAATAAGGTTTTGGGTTCTAACATCCTTACTCATTTATAACTGCTGAGTGCTGAACATGAGATTCTATTCTACTCGATTCTAATATAATAAATCAAATCCCCATTACAACCTGTCTTCACAATTTCATATGCTTTTCCTCTTTAGTCATTTTAACATTATAAGCCCCTTTTTATCTTTAATTATTACTTTTTAATATACTAATTGCATAGACAAGCATTGGGTGAGTTTTTAACTTTGGTCCTACTTGAACTCCTGAACCTACATTTTATTTTAGGTCCGAACAAAGTGCGGCTTTGCCTTCTAAGTACAAGAGATGCATTCTGCTGTCTGTTAGCTGCATTCTGCTGTCCTGTGATCCCAAGAAGCGAGGGGAAGCTTGATGAGAGGAGAAGAAATGTTTCTCAGCGAAGGACAGAACTACAAAATGTTTGTGTTGCAGAGAATTGAAGTGATCATTCAACCTAGAGTGACACAGAAATCAATCTGCTCTGCCAGGAGCTGGACACGAAAGGTCTCCTAAGGAGAAGGTTGACTGCCTCCACTCCCCAGGTTGCCTTCTCCTACATGAGGCTACAGAAAGAGTTCCAACAAGGGGAGACCCAAGTGGCTGGAGAAACAGTGACTTAGGGAGGAGGTGTTAATGGAATTTAGGTCAGATTTCATTTCATGGAAAAGAGATCAGTCAATGTTATGAACTACTAAATGTGACTAGATTGCTTAAGAGCTAGTGAAGATTTACAAACTCCTTGGGTTATTTCCTCTGAATTGCAGTCAATTTTCATACAGTTCTTATAGTGCCTGGCATGCTGGGTTGAATAATGGATTGGATAGGGGCTTTTGAACTTTTCCATTTCACACCTGTTGAAAGTTTATAAATTGCAACTCTTTGCAAAATAAAGTATTTTCCAAAAAATTTAGATATTGCCCTGTCTTGAATATTACAAACAAATTCTTTGTGTTTGGGACCTAAAATAGCAACTTGGCTAGTTGCTGGGGTTGTGAGAATAATCACAGGAGTTTGGAACACCTGGAATCCTCATCAGGTCTTAGGAAACACTGCCACCATTGTCCACTGGTGGTGTGAGCTAATTGTAGAGTTACTGTGCAATAACCTTTTATTTGGATCTAATAAAATCATAACCCCAATGGAAAGTATGGTGCTTATGCACTGGACTTTTGCACATACTCAGTTGTTTCTGCACTAAAAGGAAGAGAAATATTCTCTTCTAACAGAAGAAAATTTATCTATTTATACTTAATGGTTATAGCTACAGTATTTCTTAAGTAAGCCTATTCTTGTGTGTGTGTGTGTGTGTGTGTGTGTGTGTGTGTGTGTGTTCATCTTCATATTTGTGCTGCTGGAGGTATGTAGATATGTAGTCCTATAATGAATAAATGGAGCTTGAGGGGTCCCTACTGCCCAGAATATGGTGGAAGGTTGTGCATAGGGAATGTATTTGACTCTAGTAAGAACAGTTTTTCCACATCTGATTTCAACCAAACAGGAGAAAGGCAGTGTGGATGGATTTCTCTAAATGGCAGGAGCTACAGACTTATCTTTTAACACTATACTGGATTGATTGGTTATTAAGATGTCCTCAGATGTTTTCCAAAAAGAGACACTCTACTGACAAGAAGAGTTAGTACTTAAATCTTTGTAGGGAAATAAGACATAGAGATGGAAATAAAATTGTTTACAGTATTTTTCAGAAAATTTCTACCTATTGATATTGCTTAGTTCTAGTAAGTAGCATTGATTTTGAGGCAGGGCAAGCCTCTCTTACTTGATAGAGCTGTCCTGGACCCTTGCTGGGCTCTGTTCTGCAACTCACTTGCCACTGAATCTCCTCATCTGTTTTTTTGTTCATTATTTAATTTTTTTTTGTCACAGTTTGACTTTGTAAGATGCTGACAAACTCTTTGAGGAGATGTCTCTTACGTGTCTTGCTATAGTGGCTTATAGATGTCTCAGAAATACATCTTTTGATTTGATTTGTTATAGATAACTTTAGTAGAGTTAAATAAGTAATTTCGCTCCCTTCCCCAGCAATAAACAGCTATTAGCTTGCTACTCTAAGGTTGCCTAAGGCCAGGTTTTCAGACTAAAGGTGAGTGTGAGCCATCTATCAAAATACAGAATTATTTAACAAAATAAACATTTTAGTGTACTTTTGGCCTTGAGGAAATTTTTTTTATCTATATGGCCTAAATTCTTCAAATAACGACTTATTCCTTGTTCTTATAGTCCTAGTTATCAGGAAAATCCAAGTCTAATCTAAAAAGGCATAAAATGCACTCTAAATATGGTCTAATGATGAGTAAAACACAGGATAATTTTGAGAGTGTCTCTTAGAAAAATGTCAATAAACATTCCAACATGAGACCCAGGGCTCCAGGGACTTTTATGTTGGGGAGGAGGCATGTACTCTGCTCTGCGAATGATTAAGATTACAGGTTTCTGAAAGCATCACCTTCTGTGTGCAAAAATGTTTCTGCTTGCAAGGCCCGTGGCAGCAAGTGGAGGAGATGCTGCTGTGGAGCGTGCCTCTTGACCCCAGCAAGCTTCAAGAGTTCTTAATCAGTTGATTCCATGTTTTTAGGCTAATTCTATTTCCTATTCTGAAGACTGAAGGAAAAACACCCGCGCTTAAAAAAAAAAAAAGCAGCTTAGAATTCTTGCTTTTATCTTAGAGAATGTGATTAATGGCTATTTTGGAAGCACTCTTAAATTTGGAGATGTTCTCCCCCTGAACCCCCCCTGCCACTATTTTTATTTATGAACCCTGAAGCCGCACCCCATCTGCCTTCTCCCCTTTCTTCCAGATCCTTCTCTGTTGCTATTTCAGACTCTCAGGCAGGTCTTTCCTCCTCCTTCTGCTTGCCACAAACTCGAGGAGCTGGTGAGCTCTGTAGCTTTGTGTGTTGTGTCAGGGGAAGAGACCCAGGCCTCTTTATTGTGGGAGCACCCGTTGATCAATCCCTCTCACTCTTTTCTAACCATCAGCCATTCCCCCAAATCTCTTGGCACTCCTTTCCTTGAAACCAGAGCTCAAGGAGGTCCGGCAGCCTCTCTTGCTTTGCCAAGCATCACTCAGCTTCAGCTGAAGTCATGTTTACATATATGATCTTTCCATGCCATTTAAAATATGTAATGGATACTGTGAAAACAATAGGCATATTCAAACTCCAGCACTGTGCACAAATGAGAGAAATATTCCAATACTCATATCAGGGCCTAATAGGTATAATTTTGCTCATGATCGAGTAATGCACAGCAGCTTTCCCCTGACTGCTGGCTAAAACAAAGAAGTGGTTGTCAACCTTTGCGGAATCAGATGTTAATGATATTTCGTGTCTTTGTTGAGTCTGTGGAAAGCAGCTACTGCACCTAGAAGGGAAATGACTTCCATACCAACCGCTGTCAGCCAAAGTCGTTGGGACTGGGAAAGCTGGACCCAGTCCATATTTACATTTCAGAAAGAGGTGTGAAAGAAGATTTCAAGACAGCATTGACTGAGCTGCCTCCCATTTTCCTTCCCTATGCTCAGCCTTATCAATGCTATGAAGGGATCTTATTCTTCTCAATATATAGAAGGGGAAAATGTAACATAAACAAAGGGCCAATGTGTTTTGGCAAAGGAGGGAAGTGTTTTCTGTGTTTTGTGTATTTTTGGGAAACCTCTGAAATTCTGAAGTCATATGTCTTCCAAAGCTGGAGGAGAGTTTCTTCAAGCATCACGGATACTTGGTCGCTCCAAGAGTTATTAACTTCATTGCATCTTCAGTGAGGGGCTGTGAAGTTTTTTTCTGAGTTTCTCATAAGAAGCTCAGTCCTGAAATAATTTACTTTTCCCTTTTCAAGTTCTTCATTAATTATTTTTCATTGTTTTAAGAAAATATTTTGTGGAGCTGGAGAGATGGTTCAACAGTTAAGAACACTTGCTGTTTTTCCACAGAACCAAGGTTCAATTCCCTGAACAGACATGGTGGCTAACAACCATCTGGAATTCCAGTTCCAGAGGATCTGGCACCCTCTTCTGGCCTCCGTGGGCATTGCACACATGTGGTGCACTTACATTCATGCAGGCAAAAATACATAAAAGGAAAATAATAAATAAAGTATTCAAAAAGAAAGAAAATGTCTTGTTTCCAATTGCAAGTTCACAAAGGAGGACCCCTCAGGATTGGGTTCCCATCTCTAAGGGTAAGGTTCATATCTTTCATAGCAGAACTCAAGCTCCACTAAGCATTTAAAAATTAGCCAACCTTGGTGGCAGACACCTTTAATCTCAGCAGGCAGATCTCTCTGAGATCCAGGCCAGCTTGATCTATGTAGTGACTTCCAGGCCAGGTGGGGCTACACAAAAATTAGAAACTAGAAACTTGCTAAAAAAAATTAGAAACTAGAAAACAAAGCATTTTTTTACGAATCGCTTTTTGTCTACCATGCCAATATTAAAATCTGACTTTCACAATGATGGGGAAACATCTTTAACCAGAGGTCTTCCTGCAGCTTGCCAAATTCAAATCAGGGGATATTTCCCCTGTCATATGTGTCCACTTAAGAAGACTATGTGAGTTTGTCTTTGTCACTGTGAAAATTGTATCACATAAATTAAATCCTGAACAACATGTTTGACAATATGAAACCTTTTATGTGCCATCTTAGTTTGTTTTTCATTGCTGTGACAAAATACTCTGACTGATACCAACTTGGGGAAGAAAGGGTTTATTCAGCTTACATCTCCCAGGTCACAGTTCATCAGGGAGCCCAAGGTAGGAACTCAGAGCAGGAACCTGGAGGCAGGAGGTGGAACACAGGCCATGGAAGAATGCTGTTTACTGGCTTTCTCCCCTGGCCCCTGCTCAGCACGTTTTCTTATGCAACACAGGCCCACCTGCCCAGGGGTGGCACCACCCACAGTGGGCTGGGCCCTCCCACATCACTCATCAAGAAGATGCCCCTCAGACATGGCCACAGGCCAGTCCAATAGAGGCAATTCCCTGATTGAGGCTCCCTCAACTTAGGTGTGTCAAGTTGACACTAAAGCTATCCAGCACATGTCGATATATGTACTCATGTTAGAGTTTTATGTAAGATCTAAAGTACTTTATAGACATGATTGTATTGCTCATTGTGTTGAGTAAGACACTTTTCAGATTAGGTGAATTAATAGGATTTTGGTATAGCCAAAGTCATCTTTGTTATTTGAAAGTCTGTTTCTCATTGTAAAAGCCTAGTGCTCTATCCCTCGAAGCAAGGTTGATGAATGAGAAGGCAGCCCTTGAAGGCTCATAGAAATGCAGAAACTTGGGCTCTGATATGAAGTCCTGAATCAAATACTTCTTTTCCTGGTCTCTCCACTATACTCGAAAAGGAAGGACCATGCTGGTAGACACTAAAGTAAATGTGCAAGTCATTTTCATGTTACACAGCTTTGGACATATGTATACTTTTTTTTCATGGTCAGGAGGGAATTATGTAATACTAATATACTTACTGTTGTAATGTAGTTCCTCCCCAAATTCTCTTTACTTTTTAAGAGTATGCTTTTGGCATAATCTGATATACTATTTCTATTTATTATTTAATTTTTTGAGGCAATGCCTTGTTATATAGTTCAAGTTGACTTAGAACTTACTAATTAGCCCAATCTGGCCTCAAACTCACAATCCTCTACTTTGGCCTCCTTAATGCTAGGATTATAGGCATGTACCACCACACTCACCTTCATAATTTATCAATTTATTAATTATCAAAGGTGACTATCAGGAAGATTATACACTTTGTAAAGTGTTATCTATCTCAACATTTTAAGAGAAATACTGAAATATCTGAAATTCTGAAATAAT